AACCGGATCGGTGGATTTTTTTTTTAAAAAAAAGGGGTCAAAATCCCCAAATAAAAAATAAAAAGAAAAATAAAAACTTAGATTAAGTGTATATTACCTTATTACCTATATTTATCTTACAAAAAAAAAAATTTAAAACTTTATACAAAAATTAATATAGGGTACGGTTTCTATAAGGTTGCAACCTTAAACAATCCAATTAAGGCAGACCTCCAAATTTTATCTTAACATGTAATTTTGGTATAAAAATTTCTTGAGATTATCTCAAAATCTATTTTTTATATCTAATTATAATTTTTTAAACTTAAAAAATAGTCAAAATCAAGTAGATCTATAAATATATGAAATTCTTGGAAATGGACGATCTAGATAATGTATTGCAAGATGCACTATTTATGGGACTCAAAATCCTTTTTTTTCATATTCATACATCTCGATGTCGAGATGATCAATTAAAGGGTATTTCAACATTAAAACAACATTCTCCGATGGATTTTTGAGGTACATTTGTAATTCTACATTTCACAGTTGCAATCGTATATAAATTTTTTCCATTATTATATGAATACTTTGGAGATATGTAATACAATTTATATGGCTAGTAGTAATGAGAGTGTTAAGGGGGGTCAGGGTACTCTTGTGTTTTTCCAATGTATTTTCTTTGTTTCTCTATTTAAACAAAAGTTTTGAAGTAATCACATTAATAGTTCATGATTACATTCATCAATTGAGCAGCAAAGTAAACTGCTATATCAGCAATCGTTGCGACACAATAAGAAAATGGTAAGAAGGAACTGAGCATTATTGATCTTAAGTAGATATCAGAATCCAAAACAGTTATTTAAAAGCAAGATCAAAATTTTTTTATGATAAAAAAGTTTGAAATTGTGAATGCCTCTGCCAACACAATTATAATCCCAATTCCATTACACAATTACAATCCCAATTCCATTATTACAACAATTACAATACAATCTCATTTCCATTATTACAAATATAACTATATCATGCACTTAAAAAAAAATTCGAACAAAAAAAAGAAGAGCAAAAGTAAGACCGACACGATCATGCACTTATTCTTTTGTTTGTTAGAAAAAAATATAACATTTAAAAAAAAAGAATCGAATTTTTTGTCATATTCATCAAAAAAACATATTTTTATCATTAAAACATAATTTTATCAAAAAAAATATAATTTTATTAAGCAAAATAAAAAAGCACTTTTCATATTCATCATAAAAAAATAATTTTATTAACTTAATAATATTAAGTACAAATTCTTTTTTTTTGAAAAATCGGTTTCTCAAAAACCCTAAAAATCAAGCAACATTTCAAGCAAAAACGGCCCTCAATGTTCGGAAAACTGAACAAATCAATACTAAAGCTTTGTAAAGGCTTCCATCTTGGTATTTTTTATTTAATTTAAAAAATCCCAGAAAATTTAGACCTATGAAATTTTTATGACATCAAGCAAGAAATAAATTCATATAAAAAACTTTACTCAATTATAAATCAACATACCTATTTTATATGACAAATGAAGCCTTCATGATTAAAATCCATAAATCAATTTGATAAAAAAGACCAGTAAATTGATCCAATATTTGTTTTTTGGAACAAACACAAGTTCTTCGAGCGACAAATGTTGAGGCAAAAATCAACCCCAAATATCTTGTTTTTTGAACAAATTGAAACGTGGATATGGTAACCAATTCTATTATGATTCAAAACCCTCAACTTTTATCAATAATCGTTACCTATTGAAGATGAAATTAACGAAATGGCGAATCAAATTAGGGTTCTTCAAGCAGCTCGAACACATGTTCTTCAAGCAAATTTTCAGGCCAAAGTCAACCCCTTAGATCTAGTTTTTTGAACAAATTGAAACAGGGATATGGTAACCAATTCGATTGTGATTCAAAACTCTCAAATTTCATTAATAATCGTTACCTATTGAAGAAGAAATTGATGAAATGGAAAAAAATTCAAAAGGTTAAAAAATCTGCCACTTCAATCCATAAGAATTATTGTTTTTTTATCTTTATAAACAATAAATAATGGTTTACAACACTAAAGCACCAAAAAATCCAAAAAAATGGCAAGGAAATCGAGTAAAAAAAGCAAACAAATTTGACTCACAGGACTTGTTACAAATAGCAGGCACCATTTAAAAAAATAGCCATTATTTTGTTTTGCCTATTTTTTTGCCCAAAAGAGTCCATTTTAACAGAAAACCAGTCCGGTTAGCAGAAATTGGCCGATTTTTTATAAAATTCACCTGTCCGAGCCCTAACTAGCCGGTTTTGGACTCGAAATTTTTCTGAGGTGTTCGTTAGACTATTGGTACTACAAAACGGAGCCTAACCGGACTCAAAACCCTAGCGGTTCCGAGCTAACCAATTGGTTCCGGTTCAAACCAGCCTGTTCCGGTTCAAACTAACCGGTGTTGCGAACAATAATTTCAAGGCGCTTAGTTTTTAAAAGATCGAAGGGTTGATCGGAGGTCCAACGCTACTGAACCCCAGATCAAGATGTCTGATTAAGGGCACTCACGAGTGTTGTCGATGGTCACTTGGAAGTGAGCTTTCCCTTACACATTTACTTGCATATCCTTATGACTACAAGAACCGAAAGAAGCATGAGGCTGTTGGCTGTCATTATAGGTTTTGATCTCTCTGTACAAGTTAGATTGGCAAATTAAAATAGGAGAGAGAGAGAGAGAGAGAGAGAGAAAGAACGTATGGCTCAAGTCAATAAACAGTTGCATGGTGGGTTCGGTTAATGAATTGGCAGATAAATAAAACCATGGATTGATAGGTGCTTGGAAGGGCGGTTAGATGGTGAGTCGAGAGCACAACTCAACAGTAAGGGCCAATAGGTAGAGAGTCAAAAACATGACTCAATTGTTGTTTTACAGAGAGTCGAAACACAACTCGTCAAAAGAGCTCAAATCAGATAATCGAAACACGACTCAACAGAAGTTGCAACGATTGGGTGAGAAATAAACTCGTCTTGAAAATCGGCAACAAAACTTCAAAGACGAGGAATGGACATAGTAATAACCTAGCTCTGATAGCACGTGAAGAGTCTCATGTTTCTCTGAAGAGATGCAGTCCATTAATCATATAAATATACATACTTATCTTTTATAAACAAATTACAGATGATAAAAATAGAAATAAATCATATACTTATGGCCTGTTTGATAACTGGAAGCAAGTTCAGGAATTGTAAATTGGTAGTTCTTAAGTTCTATGAATTTAAAAAGTTCCTGGTTTCTGTGTTTGATAACCTCCCTGAGAAGTTAAGAAGTTCCTGGTTTTTGTATTTGATAATCTCCTGGGAAGTTAAGAAGTTCATGGTTTCTGTGTTTGATAACCTCCTGGGAAGTTAAAAAAAAATTGGGTATCTGTATTGGATTAGAAAAAAGATTGGCTTTCATCCCATTAGCAAGAGTTACTTTTTTCATATGTCCACCACTAATACCACATGAGAAAATTGCACTTTGGTTTCCAAACTGGCCTATAGTCCTTACCAAAAGAAATATCATGGGGCAGATATCATCTTGAAGTTTTCCAAAATCAGTGGCAGTCATGTAATTTTTATAAAGCACATATCATTTTGAAGTTTCCTAAATCAGTGACAGTCATGTAACTTATTTTCTGTTTCTTTTTTTGCAAAGAATACGTGCACATGGTTTCTTTTTTTGCAAAGAAGTATGGACATGCATGAAGACAAGCAAAATCCATAGAGAAGTGTAGTCTACCCTTGTGAGATTTGTAGTCTCTATCTGATTCTTGTAACAATTTTTTGTTTGCACAATTTTGTTTTTGTGCATTCACTTTTTCAATATTTTTTCTTGACAACTTTTCTCAAAATATATAGTACTTATAAACAATGAAAAGAAAAATGCAAAATGTTTCATATCATGGCATTGGAACCAAAAAGATCTTTTCAAAAACAAAGAAAATGTAAAATACAAAATATAATAAATTCACTAATCAATGAACATTTCAAGATTTGCATGTTGTGGCTCAATAGATAAACTACGAGTGAAGTTTTAGAGTCAGAAGTGCACAAAAATATGCAAGACACTTGGAGTCAAAATATTGAAACTCTATGAAGGCATTAGATGTTTTAGAAAAAGGATGTATAATATCCAATGTGCTACAAAAAACTATACTCCATCGGGGTAATCCATATTTTATGAAATTATGAGTGGTGATGAAGAGGTAGGACCTACCATTGTAATCATATTCTGTCTAGGGGGTTACAGTCCCTCTTTATACCATTATCATTTCATTGGACGAGGACCACCCCATGGAATATGCAAAGGAGTAGCCATTGGATATATTATACACTTCCATTCTAGAGATGTAATAACAAATCATAACATGTAATAACTGTAGCACTGATGCATCTGTATCAGGCAACATTCACAATTGATGCGTCCATAAAAAAAAAACTATGTATAAAACCAGTCCCTTCAACAATTAACCTGTAATAGTTTAAACATACATAATTCAAAATACAAAAACTAAGAAATCAACCCATTCAAACACACATGCACAATGCAAGCAGTATGAAATCAGCCCATTTAACAATAACCTGCAATAACTTGAGTGCTACATATATTCAGCACTAATGCATCTGTATCAAGCAACATTCACAATTCATGCACCCATATTCAATAACCTATAAGAAATCAACCCATTCAAATACACATGCACAATGCAAGCAGTAAGAAATCAGCTCATTCAACAATATCCTGCAATAACTTGATCACTACTTATATTCAACACTGACGCATCTGTATCAAGCAACATTCACAATTCATGCACCCATAAAGAAAACCACGTACAAAACCCCATTCAACAATAACCTGTAATAGTTTAAACATACAAAATTCAAAATGCAATAGAATGAACACAACATAAAAATTTCATATGAAATGCAAAACAATGTTTAATTACAAGTACTAGCAACTTAGGTAGGCCTCTCACAACTGCGTCGCTATGACATCTCACAGATTGACACCAACGTCAAGATCAACATGCCCTTGAGTCAATTACGAAAACCATCATCTCCGTTAATTACGAGTTGACTCTCAACCCTCTTTTGAAAATGCAGCTCCCTTTTGCTATCAACTCCCCTAGTCATCATGATGTAAGTGTGCAATATTGCACATGCAATAACTACGATGTAAGTGTGCAATATTGCACATGCAATAACTACATCAACCTGTGTTTGTTCGGATACTGCATTTGATTCTTGAGTACAGGAAATCTAGCCTTCCAAAGTCCAAATGTCATCTCCACCACATTTTTAAGCGTGGAATGCTGCTCGTTGAATAACTCCTTGTGATTCTGTGGAGCTCATGGGCCTGAAGTAAATTCGTTTAGATGGTAACGGACTCTTCGATATGGTCCTATGAAACTACGAATAGTAGGATACCCACCATCTACAAGGTAATATTTTCATGTACCATGTTTATACAATGAGTATATTGTAAGGCCAAATATCACACTAGAAATATTGTACAAACCGAAGCAATGAAATATAGGAAGGAACGAAGTTACCCTCAGGCACTTTAAGCCTACTGCCTTCAATACTAATTGCGTCATATAGGACTTTATAATATGATGCGGATCCTTCCCAACCTGCAAGTACATACTAGAAGTGCATATCAAAACCAACCTCAGCCATAACATTCCGGCTTAAATAACTTTTTCTGTTTCGAAACAATCGACTACGAACTTGAACAAGGACATGAGTCCCATCAATACCTCCGACACAATCTTATTAAGAGAAAAAAATCAACATATTATATATTAATTCTCAATGGATGTGAGAAAAACAATGTGAATTACTTGACACTCGCATACCTTGAAATATGGGTAAATCGTAGTGTATCACTAGCAATGTGGGCCGGTATTTTATTGCTTGTTGGTTATAGGAACAAGGGTTCCAATTGTAAGATGGCTTGTAAAACTCTATGGAAGTAGTAACTTATGGTCTGCCCTGAATGTTGGAACCGTTCCTGGACCACCCTATTCTGTTGATCGTGTGTGACGGTACTTAAAAATATGGCTACTTGTTCATCCACTGCCAAATATCTTGTATCTGTAATGTTTATCCTCTACTTTAACAAATTACATAGATTAATAAAAACACAACTTTCCATTCGTAATTGGTCGAAGCACTTACGAGGGTGCCCTGACAGCAAGTATTGGACATAATTGGTCCCAGTAAAATTTGAAGTATGCACGCCTTCTCCTCTTTTGCGTAGAGATATATCAACATATACTGCACCACATTATATATGTAAGATATAATATTACCACCTACCGATGCTGTTGGGGATCCATAACTAGAAATAGAAAAAGGCACCCACATTAAATTAAAGCAATATTTTTAATCAAACCATAATATGAAAGAAGCCATCCACATCCATAAAGAAAACCATGAAGCAACCTTTGACATTAAATTGAAAGAAACCACTAACATACAAATGAAAGAATTTATCCAATACATATTTATAAAATGCAAACCATAAAGTAATCTCTATCAAACCATAATAAAAAATAAGCCATCCACATCTATAAAGAAAACCATGAAGCAACCTTTGACATTAAATTGAAAGAAACCATCCACATACAAATGAAATAACTTATCCAATACATGGTTATAAAATGCAAACCATAAAGTAATTTCTATCAAACCATAATATGAAAGAAGCCATCCACATCCATAATGAAAACCATGAAGCAATCTTTGATATTAAAATGAAAGAAACCATCGACTTACAAATGATGTTGAGTACAGTCTCATGAGTAATTCACCAACATCTAGTTTAATCAAGCATCTTTAAACCTGACGTGGATTATAAAGAAGTTAGGTAGGGCATGAAATAACATTTTTCACTTGTGTATGCAGAAGATAATGGTAATTAAGGATGAACAAGCCTTCATATAAATAGTTCAAGTAACATAGTTACTTTTTCTCTTACACGAAGAACTATATTAACCTTTGATACTTATTATCTGTTGTGTTTTCAAGATCCGACAAGGGTAATCCATTCATATCAATAAAATGATGCCTCATTAATATTTGATCAGAAATGGAATGTTAGCAAACCAAACCAACGTAATTCCCAAACAGCAAGACAAAATTGCAAAGGACCAAGGTGAGAGTATTGATTATCACTGATCTAGATATCTCACATGATGTTCATGCATGATAGAAGGCTTTTCTTTTCCCCACTTTTGTGATATTGTACATGGTTTGCTTGAATATTAGTTTTCAAATTCTAAGTTACAATATAGTTCGCAGTTAAGAGGATTCCACTGTTCTCTTTTGGAACTAAAAAAGCACAATGTCAAGCTAAAGTGCAAGAGCTAGATATGAGTCGCCACCTGTGTGAATTGATTTGGATTCATGCTCTTTCAAAAGAGATAGGAATTGTTCAAGAATGACAATAGAAGTGCAGTAGTATCTAGTCCAGTCTTCCATGACAGAATTAAATTATTAAGGGAGACTACCATCAAATGATGTGCAGCTCAAAAAGAGGTATATTATGACAGCACGGGAAAGATCATTTTCATTTTTCAGAGAGCAAGGAAGGGAATGCTCAGTCCAAATGCTTCACAATGCGGTATAGTCCTTAAAAAAATAATTCTCTGAGAGAGTAAAGAATTTGGATCATGATCATCATAATAGGCATACTTTTCTTCTTTCATTTTTACATTTCTTTACCACTGAGGGGCAATATTCCTTATATCATCAATATTTTGTGTATATGTACACATTCTCATTCAAGTGAAAGTTGTTTGTTCTTGCTCATTATAATCTCTAATTTAGAACATCTCACTAGTTATTCGCGCACCATAGATCTAGTAGAGCAAAAAAAAGAGAAACAAAGAGAAAATAAGGTTTTTTCTGAACAAATTTGTGGCCAATCTTGTTTGACTAACATCTATGCATTCGCACCTCACATCACTTCACTAGATCAACTCTACAACTTTATCAAGGCATTGATAGACATCATCGCTCCATATCACTGAATTTCTACCACAAAATATAAAAAAGGGTCATTAATTCCTAGAAGTCGAGTTTTTGAAGTTCTAAATAAAACTAGAGAAGCCTGATGAAATTTGTTTGTTTGATGGTGAAGACTCGTGAAAATAAAACATTCAAGCAAGTTTCCCCGAATTTTTGACCAAAAGCCGGATAAAATGGATGACTTGAGGTGACGTGTATTGTATGCAAAAAAACTTGATGGGCCCTAAACGTTCCACAACAACATATGATCCATGTAGCATAAAACTGGAGAAAAATGGATAAAATTGAAAAAGAAATAAAGTTCCTCAATAAGAACATAAAATTTGCAAAGACAGACTAAAATGTTCCATAGAACCTATAAGTCCCACATTGATTTGATTCTAAGTAGGGAATAGATAAAATGGGTCTTAGGGGGGGAAAAAACTTTTAAAGATAATATTTGGAAAGAAGTCTTAAAAACCTTGAAACATTTTGGAAATAAGCCTTAAAACCCGATAAAATTAATGGAAAAAATTGTTGAAAATACATTTTTTTCTATGTTTCTCATCTGAAATATATGCTATGGGCACAATCAACTCTCTATAACTCAAGTTCTCTAAGTTTCTAACCTAATCACAATGAAATAGAAGCAAACAAAAAGCATGTTTCCCAACCAAGATCTTTTACCGCAGAAGGTATGGCTTAGTAGTTGCAGAATCGGAAAATCGTATCTTGGCGAAAAGAGAAACCCCAATCCAACAAAATGGAAGAAACAAATCCATAAATAGAATTCTTCTTAATCAAGCTCTTTACAAAAACTAAGGTCTCAAGACTTGCAGATGCAGAAGGCATAAGATTATGGAACCAAAAGAAAAAAGAAAAAAAAGAATAACAAGAACCAAATTCAAGAAAATGCTAACTTTCTCAAAAAAAAAAACCAAATGCAAGAGAACAAATCCACAAGAAACACTTTTTCATACAAGCTCTGCAATTGAATGCCCCTACACTTGTAGAAATGGAAGTAGAAGCTACATAAAAAAGTAGAAAAAACTAAAACCAATAGTGAATTGCAAGATATTCGAACCCACAAAAAGTTTTTTTTTTTTTTTAAAATTCAAGTTCTGCATTGTCAAAAGTTCCTAGAAGTTGCAAATGAAGTTGAGAAGAACCTAGACTAAATAATAATAACGATAACCCTCAAAATAAAGAACAAGAAAGAAGTAAATGAATCCATGAAAATAATTCTTCTCAATCAAGCTCAGCAATTCCAAAAACTAACGGCCAAGCATATGGAAAATGAGAAACTAGAAGATACACTGACAAGAAAAACCCTAGAACTAAGAAAAAGCAGTACCTGCTAAAAATTTGGTAGAGAGAAAGATCAGAGATCTGCCATGAAAACACATAAACTCTCTCTCTCTCTC